AGCTTCTTTCATGTCAGTGACTGGTCCTGGAATTCGTGGGTTTCTTCCCAGGACCCATTGCGCAGGCAAATACCCTTGAACTCTCTGCATTTAGTTCTTCATGGACGCGCGCTCATGAAGACGCGTCTTTTGCTACAGCTTCCGTGTCATGGATTGTTTTCCTGAAGATTGCTTTCAGAATTCCTTGGTGTCGTTCAACCTTGCCAATGGGCGAAGGGGTTTCCAATGGAGCGTAGAAAAATCTCAACTTCTCTCCCCTATTGTGAACTCCACGATCCATGCTTGCAGCTTTTGGAAATCCAGCCCAGCCGACCTGCCTGCGCGCAAGCTTCTGATGTCGGCATTCCTCCACCTTCCTAGTAGTTGGAACCCACTTGAAATGTCCAACAGGGTCAAAACGCTAAATTTGTTTCCTGCGCGGTCCTTCATCTCTGCCACTTCGAGTCCCAGCATTGCGTTAATTAACTCCTGTGTGAAGTTGCTATTCCCTACCGGATGGTCACGTGGCTTCGGCGCAGTGGCTTCACAGGACTGACAACAGACAAGACCCGCAGCTTCGACCAACTCCTTGCTAGCCTTGCCTGCCTTCAAAATCTTCTTCAAGGTCGAGGGTGCAGGGTGTCCGAACTGACGACGCAGACGACGGACGGCGACGCGAGTTCGTTGTGGGAGCGCTCTCCAGTTGTCGTCTCTTTTTCTCAGTCACGTCGGCGCCTGGCAAAGCAAGTTGATCAAGCGTCAGATTCTCTTGTTCAATGGACCTAGTTCCTCATCTTGATCAGTGATCTGGGGGTTCTCTGGATCACTGTCATCAATCTCTGAGATGCCTTCAAGTTCATCTGCCACAAAACATGTCCGCGCAAAATGCTCCAAATACCAGCCTAGATGACTTGGCGCCTTCAAAAGACTTGGGCCTCAGCTTCTCTCGGCGCCATCCTTCCAGAGCCTCTGCGAGCTTGCTGCATTGTGGACCTGCCAATGCCATTTCAAGATCACCACCTAAACAAATTGAACCATCACTTGACTTGTCCATCTCAAGCAGTGGTGTGAATAGCAAAAGATTGCAGCTATACATGTCCACTTCCATCAGCAAGTCGTCCCACAGTCTCGAGGATCTGCGCGCTCTCGATACACAACAACCAAACCAGGCGTCTTGTTTGAGACATGTTTGATGACTTCCTTGCTTGTCTTGCTCCAACTGGCTCCTACATCAAACACCTTTGCAGTACATGACGAGGTGATCAAAAAAGTATCCTTGATTATGACCTTGTGCTCGACACTTAAAGGACTATTTGCAATGAGTGCGTTCAACACTGATTCTAACCCGGCCAACGTTTGCAATCCGGACACAACAAACTGTTTATCCTCTTTGCTCATAGTCCATGGTCCAGTGCCATGAATGCCCTTCTGAGTCAGAGCTCAAGTCGGTTCCCCTTCAAACTTCTTCATCAAGTACTCATCTTGCTCGACGTCCTCCCGTGGCAAGGGAAGTTTCTCTGGCGCGCTTACTGTGGCAGTTTCATCAAAATGCTCATCATGCGATTCCTGTCTGGGCACAAAAGAAACAACTGGTTCACCAACATTTGAATCCTCTGTCGCAATGCGTCCAAGAAACGGCTCAACAGGCTCCAACATGTCACGCGGCTCATCCTTGACGCTGCTCTTGTGAGATTCACCTTCACTCTTGGGCGCTGTCTTGGCTTTGGCTTTCGGAGCTCGACCACCTCTGGCTCCGGTCCATCATTTCCATCAGCATATTGGTCATCTCCATTCACATTGCCTTCTTCTCCATCATCTCCATCGTCTCCGTTGTCTCCGCCATCAAGTTCCTCCACTTGATCTCCGTCATAGGGAGGAGCAATCACCATGATGTGTCCTCTGCGTGAACCAACCCTGCATGTTGGCTGCATGTCGGGGTGGGCTCTGAGCATGGTGATCTCCCAACGTTGCAATGCTCCTGCGCCTGTTCCTCCTGCCAGAAGCAAACAACTCCCGAACACCTGCCCTCCTTGTACGCATCGAATGCCTGATCTTGCTTCCTACGGTGTGTGCCTCCATCACACCTGGCAACTTCTTATTCGAAAGCATGAAGCCCAGGACAAAAGGAAATCGGCGTTTCCCTTTTGCGGTTGTGTCTCCAGCCGATCCACGGCACGCTTTCTCGTCTGACGGCAAAGCTGCAATGGTATATCCTGGCTTGTGGAACTTTGCTCACGCGTTCTCAATCCAGGCTTCACCACAGACAGTGGCGTTGCAACCTTCATCCAAAACAGCCCAGGCTCCAGGGTCTTCGCAAATGTCTACTACTTTGAGGGGGCTCTCTCAATGACAACTTCATTTAAGTCAGTCAATCCCATGTATCGGGCGCTCCCTCACAGACGGCCTCCACTGCGTGCGCCAAAATTCCGAACATCACGCCTGCATGGATGGGTTCATCGTGTTCAATCTCTGTTTCCAACTTTGAACAACTCCAAAACTTCCCAGGCGGCTGCTGCGTCCATGCATCAATTGTTGATCTCACGCTCAACAACTGAAGCAGCGGTGTCAAATGCATGTGTCTTCATGTTTGCAACACTCTTCGCCGTTGCCTCTCTCTTTCGCGCCTCTTCTCTGCGTGGGCATCTCATCGACCACGGCGCTGCACATCTTGCAATACACACGGGTCGTGGTTTTGGAACTGCCTCTACGGTCTGTTGCCTCACGTCTGTACTTTGCGGGGTCCACCGCAGGTTCTGATGACTTCTTCTTCTTCTCTGTCTTGCCACAGTCAGGACAGGTTTTTTTCTCAACAAATGCATTTGATCATCGACGGCATGGGACGGGGGCTTTCCCTTGGCTCGTTGCTTGTTCACACTTCTTCGAATGGCTTCTTCTGGCGTACCAACCAGGGGTTGTTCTCACAGTGCAACATCTCCACTCTCACTCGCCTCATAGTAGGTGGTTACCCAAGTCAGAAAATCTGCCAAACACTTGGAAGGATGTGAGATGTGGGTTCCCCATTGGTAGTATCCAGGGTACTTGAACACCACTTCGTGATACGTGAGACCTTCACGCTGACCAATTGAAGATGACAGTGTTGCCTCGACAAGCGAAAAGCTCGAAGGACTACTTGTGGCTCCTGACGACGTGGGCGCAGGCTCGGATGGATCAAATTCAAGCTTCTTTTTCGGCGACATCTTGTAGGCCATGTAACATGCGCTTTCTTTCTTGTCTGGCTCCGACGGCAATCATAATTACTCATTTTCCACTTCCGACGACGAGTCATCATCGCTCAATGCCTAGTAGGCTGTAGCTTTGCTGGTTGTCGACGATCCTCCAGGGGACTTGTTATACTTTGCTTTGGAAACTTGCACGCGGGGTCTCCTGCCCAGTGTCCGCTTCCACCACGCGCAAAAAGACACACAGCTTTCAATTTGGCAAGTCGTGCAATTCTGTCCTTCACCCTCAACTGTGCCCTGAACACGCGCTTACCTTTGCCTTTTCCTCTACCTCCTTTCTCGCCATAACCTCTGCCTTTGCCATGGCAGTCAGCGCAACTGCCGCGTCCATGTCTTCAACGAACTCTTCTTCTGGCTGATCTTCTTCCGCTTCAGCAATGTATGCTGTGTCCTCTTCTTCCTGAATCTCTGCTTCCGGCTCATATGAGTCATCGTACTCCCACGGCTCCTCTTCAACCATGTATGCGGTCGTCTGCCAACTGCGTCCCTTTCCTCCATGGTAAAAGGATTTGCCAGTTGACTTTTCCCTTTCCTTTGGACCTGTTCGTGTTCAGACTTCCAAACGCAGACCAACTCTTGAGATGAACCTGGCCGTGAAACTCCAACAGGAACTTTGCATAAGTGTCAAAGCTCTGATGGTGTCCAGCTGCGGTCTTGATCATCAACTGCTGTGTCTTGGCTAGTCCAGCTCCTTCTAGCAGTAGAACACCTCTCATTGGATCTGACAGGGCAACTCCATCATCCATCTCAAGCAACTTGCGCCACCAACGACGGCGCCTTGAGATGTAGCTTGTCATGCTCTCTGTCCCTTGACGTGACAAAGGCCCGCGCGGCAACTGTCCCACACCGAAAAGCTCACGTGCTTCTTGTTGACGTAGTGGAAAAACCTTTCGCGAATCCTGTCAACCAAGTCATCAATGCCAGTAGGTGTCAACAACTTCTCCAGGCCCAAATCCTGCGCTGCAAGGTGTGCATCGCCTCACAAACCTTCCAACACCTTGTGCACGAGAATGGTGTCTCCTCCTCTGTGTCATCCAGCCCGGCTGTGCTCTGAGCTGGTGTCTCCTCTCTCGGCCTCCCGAATGCTTCCAAGTCCGGGAACGTCGCCTCTGATGCCTCCTCGTCTGCGGTCGCAGTAGTCGGCTTCGACGTGGACGCTCGGATGTGGCGGACGAATGGCTTCGACTCTCATGAGAGTTCTTCGCACTCTTTTGCTTGTACAAAGCAACGCGGACCTTCGTGCGAAACTCCAATTCGAAGCCATTTGGACTGCCACTGTAGATGTCTGATCCGCTCTTGGTCTCACGTGGTCCTGTGCCATTTTGAGAGGAAGTGTACCTCAGGCCAGCCAGCGACATTGCAAGGAATTTCTCTTACAGTCTCTGACTTGTTCTACGGTTCTACGGGTTCGACGGTATTGCACGCAGTAGTCGCGCAGTTGGGCAACAAGGTGGCTCCAGCGAGTCTTCTCCGGGTGAGTCAGGCTAAGAGGTTCCCCTTCTCAACCTGCTCCGCTACCAGTTTCAAACTCGGAGCGATCCTTTTCAGCGTACCGATTAGCTCAAGGCGTCTGATCCAAGCCGAAATGGCCACATGGCATGTTCACTGTACAACACACCCTGGCACAAACAGCTCAGAATCACACAACATTGCACGCGAAGAACATGATGCCGGATTAAAGCAGTAACAGTAACATATCAAAACCACTGACACGTGACAAAATGACTGCGCAGGAATCCTCCTCACTCACTTCAAGGAAAGAACTGTCTGCGGCCAACATACAATTGAGCGAATCAAAAAGGTGCCCGCACAGAAAGTGGTCACGCTGCCAGACATCAGCAAGTTGATCACCATATCCACGAGCCTTCCATGCTCCTTTTTGAAACAAGATGGCCTTGGCTGAAACATGCTGAAACCAAACATGCAGGAACAGTTTAGAAAACCTCCGAGTCCCAGGTTTGGCCATGGACTTGCTTCTGCCCATCGTAAGCTCAAACTGCTTAGAATTCGCACATACTGACTGATCACAGTCTTGATTACATCGCAGGGTAGCACGATTGTGGTCAGGATCTTGGATCTTTGAGAGTCCGCTATCATAATCAAGTGACAAATAAAACAATTCGACAAGAAATGCTCTTCTTTGGGCAACGTTAAAGTGCATACTTCCAACTCCCAAAAAAATGCACACCCCGATTTACCAACGGTTGTACTCTGGACGATGTTCAAAACGTTCACACTTGAAACTACAGAGGCTCCTGCAACCTTCTTCCCCTTCAAACTTTCACCACCTAGCTTCGTGAGATTGGTGAGGGACTGCCACATGAGGTAAAAGCAAGTGAGAGAACCCAAATCAAGGCTGTACTAAGCAAGCGACAGGTGATACACCACAGGAATCAACGACAAGATAATAGCGGACATCCCAAAAAAGGCCGCGATCTTCCTGAGCGCATTGTCCATGTAGTAACCACCAACTATGTAGTCTGCCTCATTGAAGGCAAAGAAAAGGACCATTGGCACAAGCAGGCGCGTGGAATAGTGTGACGCAGGACCCAGAGCAGAGAGTACTTGTTGGCGTACCGCTTGACGAACATGCTGATTGCAGCTGTCAACATCCTCAAACCATTGCAGGACACTGTTCTCGACACACTCACGGTCGCGATTCAACGAGCATTCTGCTTCATGAATGGAGAATGCCTGCAGTTGCTTCTCCAAGGCATGGCGATCTCGTGAATACTGCCTTAAAACAGCAGTCAAAAAGTAAGTCGATGTCCAGCAGGAGATAAAAATGATTGCAGCATCTGGTAGAGGATTTCCGATGACTCTGTTGATCTGAGTTGTGCCAACGACAATGAATGCAACCATCCAACCCGACACACTGACATGGGCCAGAGTCAGCGGAATAATGTCCACAGGCAAAGATCCTTCTTCCTTTTTGGACGTCACGAGTGCAGCCATCTCCAGTGTGCACCAAAGCCTGAGATGTGGCAGAAGCTTGAAACACTATGGGCTGCCAAGCCAAGCCGCCCCTTTCTGGAATGTCCAAGACTTACTCAAACATGAAATAATTGTGTCACAACATGGCACAACAAGTTCATGGACAAAAAGCCGCGTAAAATATCGTGGGCTCCACAGCAACAGCAACCGCTGCGAGGCTGCGACAAATCCAGCAAAAGCTCGCACTCCCCTCCGCTTCAGGTCCGCATCTTTCTGATGGACACAAAACTTGTCGAGGAAGTAGTGGCGCCTGAAGCCAGATAGATCCTTAGAAGCCAAACGAACTCACTCAAAATGCGGCGAACTATCAGCAACGGTGAAGCCAAGCGTCGCGTATTTGATGCCACGTGCACAAAGCAAGGAAGAACGAAGCACAGCCCAAGAAGAATGCCCACGGGAAATGAAAAATGTCCATTCCGTCTGCCTTCACAACCGGTAGAACTTGCCAGTAAGTTAGGAGAGAAGACACAAGCGCCACCAAAATGGAAAGAATCACCGCTGCCCACAAATTGCTGTGGATGTACAGGGCAAAAACTTTGGCAACACGGCTGTCTTGCCAGCAATGGCTGATGAAGTAGTCAATCTTTTGCACTTCTGTGGATTTGCGGTACAAGGAGGTCGCCTGATCCTCCGTGAATGTTTGCGATAGACTGTTGGCACGTAGTTCAGTCCCAACTCGACTCAGCACAGAAGACAAGAGTGAAGCTCGAAGCAACTTCGTATCTTCAACTTCCAGTTTCAAGGGTTGGACGCTACCACTTCCAGTCTGTGCTGCACCGATTGCAATCGAGGCTTCTGCTGGTGACTCCCAATGACAAACTTCTGCTTCATCACCAAATGATACAAGGACATTCTCAGAAACTGGTGAAGCTTCCCCCGCAACAGGTTTCACTGGTTCATCGGGTGCTTGGGTTTCATCTTTGAACGCCTCAAGTTCATTCTGATAGGCTGGCGCCGCCTGAATACTGACAACCTCATGCTCCCACAGACTTTGGCAACACGCGTCTTGGCACGAAGTTCCCATGGCACAGCAAGGAGGTTCAGTTGTCCTAGTCCGCCTCGTCTCTACATGGCAAGTCCGACATCTGTGTTGCTGTATCTGTATCTGTGTCACATGTGAAACCTTGCCGACTGTCACCGTGTCCAGAATACATATGCCTCTGTTTGATGGCATCACAACTAACACTTCGGCAGAGCTGCAAATGGTAGGCATCGAATGTTGGCACAGCATGGATTACTGTATGAACTTGTGAATGGCAGTTTTCAGTCTGTCAAAACTGCCAGGGAACACATCCGTGTTTGAATAAAATGAACGGTCTCTTGGTGTCACACCGTTGCATGTTGTGGCATGCAGCGGCAAGCCGTTTCTCACTGCATGATGCGACGAAACGTCAAGTTGATGCGCTCATCCTGTGAGCAGGTGGAGCGGTGGCATCAAATGGTATTTAAACCGTTTAGACCTTGTAGCAACGACTGTTATCTTTGCAGCGCTCCTGGTTGCAAAAAATGCTCAATCCCCCCAAGGTATTTGCACAATCTGTTGCAAAAACGTTCTTGTTTCTTCTCAAACAGTTCATTCAAATGTTTCTCAGTGTCAAAAGGCGTTGATCTGTTGGAGTTCCACTCCTGCCTTCAAAGCTTTCCTGCGAGGCAAGGAATGCTGCCAACACTCTTGTGTTGCACCGGACATGACCTTGGCAAGTGAAAGAATGCATCGATAAAGTTTTGAAGCAATCACGCATGAGTGAAGTATCAACTGTTAGAAACATTTGGTGGTTGTTTTGGGCCATCTACCAAGAGGCTGCCATGCGCCAAGCGGACGCGGAGCCTATCTGTTTAATTTGGTGAACAGCTGTCAGCTGGCACGTTGAAGTCACTGCACTTTGTCTCTCGTTCCCTCCCCCTCTCTTTGTCACACACACACACTCTCTCTCTCTCTCTCCCTCCCTCTCGGCAGACCAAACCATGTCTCGGCCTGGCGCCGCCGCCTTTGCCTGTCACCAAGTGCTTTCATGAGAGCCGCATTCTTACGAATCATAGCGCATCTCTGACAGCTAGGAGCTGTGATGCGAGAACCGCCTTCCCGCAAATCGAAATCTCTCTCTGCACCTAAAGTCACCTTAGACAAACAAGATGCGCAAACCTCTTCCCTACAGCCTACAGCTACTTTTGCCGGAGCCGAAAACTCAAAACCGATGGTGTTTCTTACATGTTGCTTTGGTACGCTACGGTGTCTTGCTTGACATGTGTGTACGCGTGTATATACAAAAAATACATGTATACACAACTTATGACATAGACATAGAGCTCTAGTCCAACGACCTTTCTCTGAGTTGAGACGAAAGCCAAAGTCTCCCTGCTCACCCAAATGGCACCGCTTTGTCTTGGTCGAACCCTCACTGCATCCCGCTGTGCTAAATCAGGATCCAGCGACCAGGTCAACTCCTGGATAGCTGTTACCCCTGTCCAACTAACTTCAAAGCATATTCACCACGCGGGGTTGCAATACAGGCTAGGCCCAGTCCAAAAAGCACTCACCCCCGACAAAAGAGGGATCGCACGCCGCTGTAAAGTTTGGAAACGTCCAAAACCCATGTTGTCATAGACGACTTGCCAGGGACCGGTCACTGCATGTCCTCCAACGCCTGCAAACCCAAGCCTTCCAAACCCAATGCACCATTATATAAAAACACAACCACCAGCCTTCTTTTCACGCGTTGCAGAGAGTTGGTCA